GTAGCTCGCGAGTAGTATTATAGTAAGAACGTAGAGTAGATGCAGGCGAGGGCTAGCCTACTACGGACTTTCTTTGCTTCTATAGGTTGCTTCTTCTCTAATATTTTACCGGCTCTAGGTCTTTTAACATCGGTACGATAGAATGGATAGTGTTTCTCGAGTAGTATTAGTATTGTTCTTGTTATATAATACGATGCGAGGGCCGAGTAGAGCTATTAGATACTATAAATCTAATTACAGAAGGCATTCTACTACTACTCTCTTGTCCGCGGCGGCCTAAAGTACTTCCGTAGCTCTTATTCGAATGTCCGTCCTTCTAGTTCGTTCGAGTTTTCGGATATAGGGTACGGATTCGGGAGTATAATAGTAATATAGTAAAAAAAAACAACCGCTAAAGTCGAAGTAAATATTAGAACTTCGCGTAAAACTTCCTAAAATGGACGTTATATAATTAAACTGTTAGTAGGTCTAATATATCTAGTATTACATCTTCGACATTTTTAAATATTGCATTTTAATCCGTATCTAGTCCCGCATCGTAAGTATCTAAATCCGCATTAGATACTACAGCTACAGATACGCCTTTACGTAGATATTTTGTATTAAAATCCTACACTTCCTTATAGATTTTATTAATACTAGCTTAGTACGGGTTAGATATAATAGGAGGATTATCTGCACTACGGCACCGATCGCCTACGCTACGGTATATAGTAAAGAGTCGAGCGGAGAGCCCCTAAATTTCGTAAGTTATATCCTTATAGGAATAATTAGTAGTATTCCGGATCCCGAATTCGTCCTCGAAAGCATTATTTACTTGCATTATAGCGAAAGTAGTATATAAAACACGATCAAATGTTTCTACTATATTATGCGTCGAATTCTTAAAATTTCGTATATTATTTTTATACCGCAAATTAATTAGTTCGAGCAATTCGTCTATCGCGATCCCTTTCCCGGGCCTGCCTATTATATTTACGACGCCGCTAGCTAGAATCGCGCTGCGGAGATATAGAGATGCGCCCTTAAGTAGCTAAATTAGATATAGCATCTCGCGCCCGTAGTTATATTATTTAGCTCCGAAAAATACTACTACGAGCTGCGGTAAGAGACGTTTAATATAACTAATATCTATATTCCGAGTCGCATATCGGAGAGTTAACTAGAGCTCGGTTATATAGAGTCGCCGATAAAGTGTAGTCTAGGCAGGATCGCGGATTCTAGGCTATGCCTACGGGATAGGCTCTAACCGTAGCGGAGTCCGGCGTATCTACTATAGTAAGAGTAGCTTTGTCCTAGGTGCACTATATACCCGTTCCTATTCTCTTTCTAGCTATACTAAAGGCCGCAAGTAGCTATTATATATAGCTACTAAGAACTAAAGATATTTATCCGTAGTAAGACCTACTATAGTAGGTATAACCGCCCTTAGCTTACTAAAATTAGGAGGTAAATCCGTAGGGAAATATTCGCTATAGTACAGCTGCTTAACGAATAAGGCGATAATCCTTACGGAGTACCTATAAAGCGCAACGGGACGTAGTATCTAGTATTTTGGTTTTTTCTCGGTTAATCCTTTTGCACTAAATGCCTACTTGTCCTAGAAAAGGCTATATTCCGACCTAGCATCCTAACTAATACTCTAGAAAAGGCGAACTAGTATATAATAGAGGTTTATAGCGGTATAGAAGAGTCCCGTAACGGGCATTATCCAATCCCGCCGCTCGAATAGCCTTATACTTTTAGTATTTTTACCTTTGTTGCTCCGTATACGCTATACCGACTATTAATCTCCGTAGAAAAGCTACAACTATATAAGGAAGTCTGCGACTAGGTTAAGGCGCAGCTTATATAGTATAATGTCCTCTTATACCGTAGCGTTCCTATCGATAGTACTCTCGCTATAGTAAATCGTACTAAGCGGGTAGAATTCGGTTTTAAAGGCCCGTAGCGGACATAGTCCTAGCTACTACGTAATCGACTTAACCCGAGGGTCCTCGACTACGGTTATAAGCTTATTTTCGAAGATGCTTATAATCGCCGCGTATATATAATATATCGACAATTTCCGAAACTATTTATCTTCTCTAAGCGTAGGGGCATTATAGATATCCGTAGCGTCTAGTCGCGTATCTGCCTTAAAATCGTTAATACGTAGGCTAGTATCGGGATAGCGAATATACGGAGTAAAGCGCACTAGCAGCGCCGTAGTAAGATTGCGTATAACCGACTAATTAGATATAGTCTAATCCCGAACTATATCCTAGAAATTGATATTGTCGTATACTACGTACTATATAATATTATACGCTAACCGGACGAGCCTTTCCTATATAGAATAAGCACGAGTTAACTATAATGCGATTAAATAACTACCTTCTACTCGCTCCTAGAAAGCTTCTCCTTATAGTATAGTGCTATATACGTAGCGATTAAACCAATCCCCGATAGGATATCTAATGCCCTCCGCTTTACGCTATTTAATAGGAGGTACCGACCGAATACCTTTATAAACTAATTAGATTTGTTCCGAGAGCGAGTATAGAGGATAAAGGTAGTAAAGGTAAATATTCGTATATCGAGATTATCCGGCTCTTTATTACGCTACCTAACTAATACGCTACGGGCAAATTAATACTACGCTAGAGCAACATCCTAGATAACTTTATATATATCCTTAAACTACTAGACGGAGAATTAATTATCGAATCTATTAATAGGTTCGAGTAGCGTAGCGGCCTAGTCGCCCGCTACGGCCTCGGATACCTCTATAGCGGATCGAAGAGTCCTCCGCTATTTCCTATATAAGCTCTTTCTAATTAGGTAATCGAGTTTACGAATAATATTACTATTCTTACTACTAGACAACTTAACCTACTTCGATTTGCGTAGCTCCGCATTTAATATAATAGAGAGCTAGCCGACGCGATACGTATAGGACTTACTCCGTAGTTTACTAGCCTAGTACTATACGACCTTCCCTATAGTAAGGTTGTTTTCCTATATCTTATATATTACTTCTTTATAGCGCTGTCTTTTATCGCGACGAGCGCGGGGCTAGCGAGTTACGTAGCGGGTCGACTCGTTATCGCTACTACTAACGCTACTACCGTCTATAATACTATCTACTTCTAGTTATAGGCGATCCGCTAGGTCCTTCTTTTCGGTAGACCTATTACTTAGATACTTATAAGATAGAATACTAGAAAGATCGGAGGAGGTAGATAGACTAGAAGGAGAGCGACTAGATATATATCTATCCGTAGCGGAGGATAGAGATAGTCCTATAGAAGTAGGCTAGAAAGCCGCGGAGGGTATAGTCGTAATAGAAATACGCGATAATATAGTCGCATCTGCCTAGCGTATATCGCGACGTAGGCGCTACGACGACGACGATATGTTTATACCCGATTTCGTACCCGGGAAACTTTAGGAAAAAGATAGTAATACGAAGAAAGGTATTCCTACTATAGAGAGAAATTTTTACTATAGGAAATAGTCGTTCTAGTATTAAAACTAGGGTTTTGCGATTCTCCTATATAAATGTTTAATATAGGAAGTCGAAATCCCGATAGAAACGGCCTAGACGAGAATAGCGATTCCTATATTCCCTGCCCTAATTAGTAGAAAAATTTGCTTAGCTCCGTATAGTTTTTATCTAAGCCCGCTACGGAGTAGTCTATATACGGGACGCGGACCGCTATATTCCGCAAAAGCAAATTGTCTAATAATAAAACGCAGGTAAGAATATGAAGGTAGGAATCGCTAACATTCTCGTCTGGTCTCGAGATAGGGAGGTACGGGAGTCGGGACCCACATGCAAACGCGGGGATGGGATGGGATGGATAGGAGTGGATGATGGTAGTCTGATGAGATGAGAGGGTACAGACTACAGAGCAGCAATGGTTCGTCATTCAATCTGTCTGCCCATTCATACCACATGGTCATACACATTATTATTGTCGACGTTGTCCAGCTCGCGTGTGGAATTGTCGGAGCTTCGGCTGAAGCAAGGCACGGCACGTCATCAGTTCGAAGCCGCCTCTCTCCGACGTTTCTGACGTGGGGCTCACAGCTTGCTGAGCGGTGCTTCATCGTTGTGCGCACAGCTGCAGTGTCGTAGACAAAGAAAGGACGGCAAGCCAAGGCAAGGCAAGACTGCGCCGTGGAGCGCTGCGTGTTGGAAACATCTGTAGTGTTTGCGGAAGACGGCAGACGACGCTTCATTACCTTATTCTATTGTGAGGTGCGTGCACGCGCACGCCAATCCTCGCGCATCCACAGCTCCAGAGCCCAGACCCAGAACACTACTCCTCCGCCGCGACTCAAACAACCCATTCGTCGCTGACGACATCGCGCACAGCTACAATAGCCCGCATAGCTGGCAGTCGTGAGCATCTCCTGTTATTATACGCAATCCGCTGCACACCGCAGACCGCCTCGCTTCGCCAGTAACCTGTCCTGTGCCTTTGTCGAGCTGCTCTCGTCGAGGCGCCCGGAAACACATTAGCCCGCTCCTAAGCTCCCTTCTCCACTCTGCGCACGGCGACAGCGCCTGATCGAGCCCGCGATTCAGATACATGAGCGACACTGCAACTAAGCAGACCACCAACGTGGCCGGCAGCAAGAGACGCAGTCTCTCCGGTCAGGGCGGCGGCCTTCTCAATAGGATGTTTGGCAGCTCCAACGGCAACAACAGCAGCAAAGAACAAGTCAACACCCACCAGAACGGCAGCGCCAGCACCGGCACCGGCGGCGACGGCGCCGCAGACAGCGGCTCACCCCACACTCCGCGCAACAGCAGTCACGTCGATACCATCCAGGAGGGCGACGACGAAGCCAGTGACCTGCGCAGCCCCACCCGGAAACCCGAGGACCAGACCGAGAAAAAGCGCCGAAGCAGCGGTGTTGGACGAGCTCGTGAATTGCTCTCCAGCGCGAAACAGTCGCTCTCCAACCTCGGCAGTTCTCCCGAACAGAGGCAGTCCAGCCCTCATCTGACTCCAATGCAGAAGCTAGGGAAGCAGGACCCGGCGCTCAGCGTGCCTACGGGCTCGCTGAACAATTCGGCGGGAGAGTCGGCACCGGGTCCTCGATCGACGTTCCGCGTAGGCGTCACCGAGGATAAAAACAAGAAATGTAGACGCACGATGGAGGATACGCATGCCTACTTGTACAACTTCCTCAGCACGCCAGCTCCATCTCTTGCCTCAGACACCAGCTCGCAGAAGAACAGCTCGCTCGCTCAATCGCAATCCCGTGACTCGAACGTGTCCCAGCAAAGCGTTGTTGAGACGGATAATGGATACTTTGCCATTTTCGACGGTCACGCTGGCACATTCGCGGCCGAGTGGTGTGGAAAGAAAGTGCATGTCCTTCTCGAGGACATTATACGCAAGAACCCGAACACGCCGATACCTGAATTGCTAGACATGACCTTCACGACAGTGGATCAGCAGTTGGAGAAGCTGCCTTTGAAGAACAGTGGTTGCACAGCGGTTATAGCAGTGCTTCGCTGGGAGGATCGCGTGCCTAATTCGCAGTCTGCTACAGGCTCCACTGCACTTGCTCCTGCAACTGCGCAGACTGGAAACGCGGAGCAGACAATTCAGCAAGGTGAGCCGAGGAGGCACGTACCGCAAACTGGCAGGAGGCTAATTTTATCAGCAACCCGGCAGCGGGTACTCTATACTGCCAATGTCGGTGACGCTCGCATCATTCTCTGTCGCAATGGCAAAGCCCTCCGTCTCTCGTACGACCACAAGGGTAGCGACGAGAATGAAGGCAAGCGAATTGCTGGAGCCGGCGGACTGATCTTAAACAATCGCGTCAATGGCGTGCTCGCCGTCACTCGTGCGCTGGGTGATGCATATATGAAGGATCTCGTTACTGGACACCCATACACTACTGAGACTGTCATTCAGCCCGACATTGACGAGTTCTTGATTCTCGCTTGCGATGGGGTAAGTAAAGGTCTGCAGCTGACAAATCGAAGATCGCTAACATGCTTCACAGCTTTGGGATGTCTGCTCTGACCAGGAAGCTGTCGATCTTGTCCGCAATACTCAAGATCCACAGGTTGCCGCGAAACAATTGGTCGAGCACGCTTTGGCGAGATTTTCGACTGACAACCTTTCATGCATGGTGGTACGCTTTGATAATAGCAAGCTCCAGGCTGTACATGAGGATAAAGAGAATCGTATTGGTGTTGATGGCGACCCATCTGCGAAGGCTGGCGGCATTAGTGAGGCCGATGCAATTGTAAGCGATACAAAAAGGCATCTCGACGGTGGTGGCGAACCTCTTACTGGAATGTCTGGTGCAACGACCAGTGACCTCATGGACGAAGTGCAGCAGAATCAAGAAACTGGTCCTGAACTAAATCCAGAGGCATTGGAAGCTGCCCGCAAGGACACCAAACCAAAACAAGATACTGGCCGAGCTCATTCACCGAACACACCTGTCACGCACGACGGTCCGCATCAGCAGCACGATAATCGCAGTGATGGTCCTCCACAGGGCAACGGGCCGATGAACGAGCAGAACCACGGCGGTCGTGACAACGGACCTCGTGATGAGCGTCGTTCAGGTTCGGGGGCTGGTATGCCGGGGATGCCAGGTAACATCCCGAATGATAACGACGGCAACGGACCAGGCCGATCTTCCAATGATGGCGGTAATGATAGACGGGGAAACGACGGTGGTGGAGATCGGAGATAATGAGGACACGACATGGGCATATTTTCGTTTTGGTCTGCACATACTAGTCGAGATGAGGTGGATCGGGAGGGTGCTGAGCGAAAAAGGGCTCTTGCGAGATGAACAGCATGTGTAAGGTAAGGAGTTTAAGCGGCGCACATTGCATTACGTTGTGGGTTGCAAAGACTTCATAACGGCACGAGTAGTTGATGCCGCTGGAGTGGAGAAGAAGTACCTAGACGAGAAAACGAACATTTTGCTTCCAAACTCACCTGTTGACATGAGCACGTGCAATCAAAGACTAAAAGTGTGCTCGCTTTCTCCACAGGTCGAACATCCTGGCTTGAATGACGTGCAGCCTCAAGCACTCAGTCAATCAACGGTCGGTCTCAGCGCTCCGTGCAGCTCGTCAGAGTCGTCACTGTACTGCACCGCCGACACTGCACAACACCCCTTCGACCGCGCGCCTTCAATGTGTCACGGCCGCCGCACCGCTGGCCGATGGAGGACGACGAGGTCATGAATGAGGCTCTGGGCGATGGAAGACGGGCCGGCAAGCCTGCTGGGCACGGGATGTCGTCTTCTCCGGGAATCGAAATCGAGGGTCACAGTCACGGGGCGCCGCAGCCGCAAGCACATCATCACCATCATCATCATGCCTCTACCACGGTCGTCGTCGCCGTAAACTCAGGCTCAGGCTTGGCCGGCGGCAGTGCGACATCTCCCCCTCCGCCTCCGCTAGCGTTTGTAGCTCCGTCTGATCTGCTGCGCGTCTCTCGTAGCAGCCGACCCTCGTCGGCGCTGGCCCGCGATCAGTCTCCGCTACCGCTACCACCCTCGCCAATGACTCCGATAGACAGAGAGCAGATCGAGGGTCTGGTAAGTGAATTTCGGATGGGTGGTGCGGCAGTGTGATGCTCGCTGCTCGATGAGGTGGCAGTAATCCGCACGCGCGCGCGCACACCAGCCAGCCAAGTAGTTCATCCTCCAGACCAACAGATCGTATGCGCCAGGGCCGCGCAGGGCAGGGAACGAAAGTGCAAGCAGGATAGAACATCCCGCGGCGGCGGCGTCGCATCGCTCACCACCTCTCCACGGTCATGCACAGTTTCGAGGACCGTATTGGCTGACCAGCATCCTCTTACACAGCGTGCAATACGAGCCTTCCTCAAGGTGCGGACTTCTTACGATGTGCTGCCGCTCAGCTACCGCCTCATCGTCTTCGATACATCTCTACTGGTCAAGAAGAGCTTGAACATCCTCACACAATGCGGTCAGTCCACCTCAGCACGCGACCAGCTACCGCATTCGCTAACGATTCCCAGCAATTGTCTCAGCACCACTATGGGATTCCAAGACCTCAACATTTGCCGGCCTCCTTACCACCTCCGATTACATCAATGTCGTCCAATACTACTGGCAGAATCCGGAAACGCTGCAACAAGTGGACAAGTTCCGCCTCAGTAGTCTGAGGGATATCGAGCGCGCCATTGGTGTGGAGCCCATCGAGACACTATCCATCCACCCGCTACAGCCGCTATACGAAGCCTGCCGCCGAATGCTTGAATCTCGTGCCCGCCGCATTCCGCTGATTGACACTGACGATGAGACACAGCGAGAGATGGTCGTCAGCGTGGTGACGCAGTATCGCATCTTGAAGTTCATCTCGGTGAATGTGAAGGAAACGCAGTCGCTCAAGAAACCCTTGAGAGATTTGAAGGTCGGCACATACACGACCCTGGCAACAGCGACCATGGACACTCCAGTGATGGATTGCATCCACATGCTGGTCAAGAGGAGCATATCGAGCGTTCCAATTCTGGACAAAGATGGAACATTACTGAACGTCTTCGAGGCAGTAGACGTGATTACTCTGATTAAGGGCGGAGACTATGACAACCTCAACCTCACAGTGGGCAAGGCGCTTGAAAAGCGATCAGACGTATGTGCCTGCAAATGGCGACTTTGAGAGCAGCGCAGCTGATGCTAGAAACAGGACTTTCCTGGAATTTACACGTGCACTCTCAACGACCGCCTGGATACGATTTTCGACACCATTCGCAAATCTCGAGTACACCGCTTGGTCGTCATTGATGAGCACAATCAGTTGAAGGGACTGCTCTCCCTCAGTGACATTTTGGACTACACGCTCAATAGCCCGCTAGGCGACACAGACGACTAGAATTCGCATGGAGCGGAAACATGGATGGGCAACGACGAGCTACGAAAGCCATCTGGCCTTGAGTCTTGTCGCAAGTGCTGCGCTTGGCTGAAGGCGGATGTGAAGCATATGATACCCCAAGCATTGAGTGTATACTAAGTGCCGCACCGCGCCGCGTTAATTCGTGGAATTCGCGATAGATGACTGATTGATTGATGGAATACTGGCGCTTCATTGCCATACAAACGCTGATCTCATATTACCCTCCACTCTTTTGGTTTTTCTTATACTAAAACTTTTGAAGAATAGACCGCTTTACTACCCTTACCCTTCTTTCCCACCAAACCCAACCCAAGCAGCAAGCGACTTCCGCTTACATTGATTCTAGATGAGACCCCTTCTCTCTATCACCCTCGAAGAACACTCCCAAATCGATTTCGTGAATCTCGTCATTTCCACGTACGGCCACTCCATTACCATCACGGATAAGAGAACTGATGAGAAGTCCGCAATGGGGAAAGGGGGTGGAGAGTTGGCGGACGACGTACAGGTATCAATTAGGAGCTTTTGCCGATGCTTGTAAGGGAAAGGATGTGAAGACGTGGGTGAGTGTCGATGAGAGAGTGGCTTTGATGGGGTTATGAACATAACATCCGACAGCACAACTGAGAGGCCTTCGAATACACGAGACGCTTTCCATTTCCATTCATCCTCGTGGTCCATCTATCTGCATTTGTGCTTAAATATCCCACAACGCCTCGCTAAGAATACTACCGCCTCATTTCATCATCTATACCGCGCTGAACGCTGAATCCTGATGTGTATGTGGTAGGATAGAACAAAAAAAGGGCCAAAATTTACATCTTCACAGCATGCTGCGAACACCCTCTAATCTCCATCTCACGTCTTTGAGAACTTTGCTCGTAGGCTTCCACTCCTCAAACTCTCGGACGAGTTCCTTCACTTCCGCCTGCAGCCTGCCATCACTCTTGACAATGTCCTCTTCAAGCATACCTCTGACAGCCCATGGCAGCATAAAGGGATTCTTCTCAGCAGATCCAGCAGCTCCCAGCGCCTCGTAAGGTGCGATGACGGGTAGTATGCCTTGCGGTACCAGGCTGAGAGCGCCCAAGCTTCCTCGCCGCATGTGATTGGCTACGACCATATTTGAGGGATAGCCAGCAAGCGAGGAACGACGAGATGCGGCATCTTCCATGCTTTTACGCTGCTCATCTGCCGTTGTTGGTCTAAGCGCTGCGAAGATCGACGGCGATAAATCGGTGCTCTCCAAAGCGAATTCGATTGCTGTCCTGTAAACAGCCGGATCGTCGTAGACTCTGCTATGGCCTTCACCGCCGACGATACTGCCTGCCAGCGGAGCGGAGATCTCTCGAATCAAGCCATGATCGCTCACGCCCAGATTGCGTAATTTGGCAGCGAAGCTCACCAGATGGATGAGGAAGTTTGATGTATGGAGTCGTCCGTCAATGAAGATAGCTCGGCTGACGTATGGATGATTGAGCGGTGTGTGCAGACTTGATTCTAGGCCTACGAGCTGATCATCCAGGCTGCCGACGAAGGTGATTCGGACGCCGTGTCGGAGGCAGACCTCGAGTGCATCGGTATAGGCGAGCGATACTCTGGATTTGCTGTCGCAAAAGTCGAAAAGCTCAAGGGCGGAGCCGGAATAGAACCGGCTTTTGTATTCAAGGAAGGGACCCAGATTGATGCCAGCCATGGCACACATGCCTATTCGTGCGTTGGATGACAGCACGCCAAGCTGAATGAGTTTAGCAACGAGCATTACAGCCACTGGAACACCTTGACTATGGCATGCAACTAGAATGAAGTCTGCCTGACGGAGATGTGATAGCCAATTAAGCAGCAGCTTCCACAGCGTATTCACACGGTCTCCTACAAGACCTTCTCCTTCGAGTGCAACCTTCTCAACCTCGACGTCTTTGACATTCGGTTGATGCTCCTGACACCAATGTTTGATGGACGCTGCAGCATAATTTGCAAAGCGTATCGATGTGCCCGTAGGTTGACCAAGCACTCTCTGCAGCAGCGCGGCAGGGAAAAAGCCATGAATGCCGATCGCTATGGCTTTCTTCACTTTGTGAGGCTGCTCTGAAATACACGGATGCACCACAGGTTTCCGCGCCTCTGTTAAGCGTAGCGACTGGCCAATGTAGTGTGTGAGTCGGTCGAGATAACCATGATGCGCCACCTTTGGGTAGGTCTCACGGAAAGATGGTGATATCATATTGGGCCGCAGCTGTGGTTTCTTGCCCCTTTGCACAGGTGCCGGCGAGCCTTCCGGAGTATCCATTGGCGTGTGAAATTGTGTCCCTGCTGGCGTTTGCGGCTGTGATCCAATTGGAGTTGCAGCAGCCGTTGTCTCGCCAGAGACCTGCTTCGACTCCGGCCGCCCACGTTTACGTCGCAATAGAGATCCACTTTGCTTCACCTCTACTTTGCGGTCCGGCTGCTGGTTATATTGGGCAGCCTCTGGGTGGCTCTGCGATGGTGTGTCTGCTACAGCCAATTCTCCAACCTGCTTCTGTGTCTCTTCTTCGCCTTTGGTGCTGTCCTTGGTCTTTTCTTTCGACCAGAACGCCCAGCCGGATGATTTTGGTTGCTCTTCATAGTCTTTTCGCTTCGAAGGCTCAATATCTTTGACATGATTTGCTGTCTTGCTGGCATCTGCTGTTACGGCCACATCCGGAGCAGTTTCTGGCTCTTTCTGCTGCGCTGGAGGTTGACCTGCTTCTTGCTGCTCATCTTCTATTCTTTGCTGTTCTTCTACTGCCGCCTGTCGATTCTGAGTATTGCTCCAGAGACCAAACCACGACCTTGTTGAGCCATACTTGGCACTCATCTCGGGCTGCAACTGACCCGACATATCTTCCTCCGGCTGTGCTTCGGCCTGTGCCACTGCTGGCTCTTGTGGTGTCTGTTCAGGGGTTGCAGGCAGTGGCGTGTGTTTCCCCTGTTCTACCGCTCCATCGAGAGCCATCTTGCCGCTCTCTTTCACCTTATCGCCGTTACTATCATATCCGTCCGGTCGAGACCACCATCCAAACCAAGTGCCTGAAGTCTGCCTCACAGTGCCAGTCTCAGTCTTGGCATCATCCTCTACCATTTCTGGCTCAGGCGGGAGTGGTGCCTGCTCGGCGACCTCTTCCTTCTTTACCTGCTCTGATGCAGGCTTCTCCGCCGACGGAGCCTTTTCTTCCGCGTCTCGACTTTGGCGCTGCTTGCCCTTGGGCACACTGACGGCATCGCCCACCGCATGCACTTTTGTTGCCTCTGCGATAAGTGCGCTGCTCTTGCGATTGCTTCCCTTGAAGCTCTTGCTTACACTGGCACTCGGCCGCCGAACAGCCTGTTCTGCCAGATACGAGCTTTCGGAAGGTACGCCTTTGTCAACGGAAATGGTTTCGCGAGAGCTCTGTGTTACAGGTGACGCCTTACTCCGCCAAGCTGAGCTGTACCAGCTGCCTCTCTGCGCCTGATTGCCATTTGCTTGCGCCTGCGCGTGGACCTGTGCCTGTGACAGTGCCTGCACAGGCGAGCCTGTCGCTCTGACGGGCGCTGTCGCAACATCCTTATTGTTACAGGCCTGACTGGCAGTCTCCACCGTCAGGCTGCTCTCTGTCGGCGTGTTCTTGCCCGATTGTATACCATCACCGTTGCTCTGTGCCAGCTTCGATTTCTTTCGCGCCGGAGCCATATCAAGCATAATCTCCAACGCCACTGTCCAGCCCCTCTTTCTCTGCCGTCAGTCGTTCATTGCGCGTGGATGTGAGGTGATGTACCTCCAGGATGCGGTCTTTTTGGTCGCCCATGACGTTGGCGATCGTCAATCGACAAGGATCACGCGAGAGATAAGGAACGCGCGCGAAACTCTATTTACGCAGTATTTGTTTTCCCTCGAAACGTGATACGATATTAGTACCGAAATCTTATGGCCCAAGTTGACAGCATGATGCGAGATGTGGTAGTGAAGTACTCAAGCTCATCATCAGTCAATCGGATACATTCACGGCATAAAAAACGCTATCTACAACAGCAGGCCGGGCCGTATAAAAGGAGTATTTACGGATCCCTAGCCGCACTCCTCCCCTCAATCAATCTCTTCTTTGACTTAGACGGCCTGGAGAACGTTCTCGGCGGCGGTGACCGTGACGCTTGGAACCTCATCCTCGACGAAGATGCTCTTGACGACGCCGTTTTCAACGATAGCTGCGTATCTAGACGAGCGGTGGTTGCCAAGCAGTCCGCTGGCATCGAAGCTCAGACCGGCCTCATGTGTGAACTGTTGAGGCATGTTAGCGCGAAACAACATAGCTCACTTGCATCATTCACGTACGTTACCAGTGTCATCAGCGAGGATGTGAACAAGCGGATGGTTCCACTTGTGGTGCTCCTTCCAGGCCTTTGTAGTGAAGACATCGTTGACTGCGACGATGTAAATGCCCTGAACACCCTTGGCAGCGAACTCGTCCGCCTTCTCAACGTAGCCTGGAACCTGGCTGGAGCATGGTGGCGTGAAGGCGCCTGGAACACCAACAATGATGTCTGGCAGCAACTCGTCAGTGAAATCCGACGTACATTGCGAACAATGGCAACTGACTCTTTCCAGCAAGCGTCGCAAGGTCGATAGTACCCTGCTGTGGGTTGTCCTCCTTGATCTTGTGACCGGTCGGCAGCTTTGAGCCTTGAGCCAATGGCTTGTTCTTCTTCAGCTTGTCGATGATAGCGGCCATTTTGCAGCAGGTACGACTGATGTGTGAACTATTGTACTTGAAAGCGTAGGTGGTTTCACTGCAGAAGATGTCGAGGAAAAGCATTTGCTTATTTGCTGCCCCTCCAACCCCGGTCACGTCACAGACCGGAGCCGACCTCCGCTATGAGGTGTTATTCTGGCCTCTACCCCACTAAAAGTGAGAGGTCGGCGTTCTAGCCCTGAAGAATGCTGTTCAAATTCCTTTTCATTCGTCGCCAACAGGAGATCCAGCTACATCTATCCGGAACTGGTATATGAAGATATTATCTCAATCTATGGCCAATTCTCCTAGTCTTAAGCGATAGTCAGCGTGCCAAGCAACGGACACTCAACGTCGAATACAGCTCTTGAACAATGCGGTATATGCGGGCCCGATTGTCAACATCGACTAGCACTTCCATGCTTAGGAGCATCTACATGGACGTCATCGACTACCGTCTATCTACAATGCCTGCGTCGAAGGTTTCCGCGCCTTGTTCAACATCCATTTTACGTAGAAGCGATGCTTAGAGCAATCCTTCCTAGCCTCTTCGCAGAGCTGGTCAACGTCATCCTTCGACATGCCAAGTTGCTTCTAGAGCACGAGAGGGCCAAAGGCTGGTATAGCTTTCGTTATGTTTTCGAAGCAAGCCTCGCCAATCTTCTTCTCTGAAACGACAGTTCGATGGTCTAGCTCCAGGCTGAATGGCAGAGAGATCAACGCCGAGAACTTGGAGATGGAGAAATGGCTGGGCAACTTCTAAAGTCCAAAATCAAATGCCTGTACCAGTACCAACGTCCCGGACATTCTTGATTCCGGGCGGGATTGGCACCTGTCCTGAATAGCCATTGAAGGTGAGCTTCCATTGATAATGCCGGAGATCCATGGTGAGGCAAGTGACGGTCACAGTCCCATGGCAGGGTATTCTTGAAGGCTGTCGTCATTGCCATGGTCTCAAACCTGTGCTCGACTCTCTTGCTTGTTGCTCAATGGAAGCACTCTGCGGACCTTGGTTCCCAGTACAACATGTCGCTCACAGTCCTGTCCAGTGCCTCAAAAATCGAACTAACATGTCTCTTGCATCAGAGGTGACTAACACCCGTGCAGTAGCGTGAAAAGTGCCATGCCGGCCATGATTGGAGCGATCAACACGGTGTTGAGGGTTTACAGCCCCTGAGAAATGGAGGTTGTGTACATCGTATATTATACTGGTGTACACCCATGGATACACATCGGGTATGCCCGAATACTAGGATATCCGAGCAATATTAAGCAGCTTGGCGGGTTGTAGGCGGGATATCAGCGTATCCGATAACTCCGCCTTGTGTATACACAACGAGCTCGCCTGAAGGGGTCGTATACATAGTGTATTACAGAGCGTGTACACCATCCACAGGTTGGTGGACCCCATCACTATCAACACCTTACGACATCTTCCCGAGCGCGTTGCTTGCATTGCATCAAGTAGGCCATTAGCCCTGGAGAAGGAAGCATTGGCCACGCCAAGCATTCGGAGAACCGAGGCAATTGGATCATCGCTCTCCTCGCCAACCGAATCATCGCCGACATGTACAATTGAGCGAGCCATAGATGCATCGCCCTCAATGTAGAAGGAGGTAGGACCGCATTGCTTTCCTATCATTCATCATCCTCTTTGTCAAATCATACATACCCAAGCCAGAGCTCTCCACTTTCTCACAGACCCCGGCTAGGACACGACACAGAGCACCCCACAGCAAACACCGCAAACATGTCCGCCGAAGCAGACGTCAAGCTCGCTGACTTCAAGAACATCTTCTCGCTAAACGGCAAGGTAGCTGTAGTCACAGGCGGCTCAAGAGGTCTTGGACTGCATGCAGCGTCAGGGTCAGTAAAGCCCATGCATGTCACACAGCATTCGACCTCTATCCCCACCATGATCTTGTTCAAAGCACTGACTTGTATACAGTCTCGCTCAAGCCGGCTGCTCCAAGATCTTCATTACCTCCCGCAAAGCAAAAGCCTGTGAAGAAGCGTGCGCCGCTCTGAACGCCCTCGGCACATCATGCAAAGCCATCAGTATCCCAGCCGATCTGGCCAAGCAAGCTGAAGTCGAGCGTCTGGTGAAAGAAGTCGAGAAGCACACCGATAAAGTCGATATTTTGTTCGCAAATGCTGGTGCAACATGGGTAAGACATCGATATGCACAACCTCAGTATTGTGCTCTCGAAATTCACACTGACAGACTTCGTGTGTATGTATTCTTAGGGAGAAGAATTCGACAAGCACCCCGAATCCGCATTTCAAAAAGTCATGCAATTAAACGTCACCAGCGTCTTTACATGCGCACAGAAATTCGCCCCGCTTCTTCGCAAAGCCGCGTCAATCGAAGACCCATCTAGAATCCTCATCACTGCTTCGATTGCAGGTATTGGTGTTGGGACGCTGGGAAAGCAGGCCACATTTGGATACTCGGCCAGCAAGGCTGCTGCTTTGCACTTGGCGAGGAATTTGGCGTTGGAACTCGGGCCCCAAGGTATTCTCGTGAATTCTTTGGCACCGGGGTTCTTCCCGACGAAGATGGCGAGTGGATTGATGGAGATGAGTGGTGGTGTCAAGAAGCTGGCGGAGGCCACGCCAAATAGGAGATTGGGACAGCCGGAGGATATCGCTGCTGCGGTGGTATATCTGTGCAGTCGCGGGGGAGGTCATATCAATGGAGGTCATATTGTGCTTGATGGAGGAAGTGTTTTGCAAGCCAAGCTGTGAGGCTAGATTGCTTGATTGATGTAGTTCTCAGAGCTATGAATACCAAGCAGATTTCATTCGTGGTCCAAGTCAGGTGCATTTCAACTAATCTTCAACGACTTCAATTCCTCACATACCGAGTAGGCCGGCCATTATTCTATCGTGGTATCGTGGTATCATTCTAGTATACACATCCCTATCCCCATCGTGCAACCAGTAAAGCGAACAGTGCAAGGCATGACCGTTTAGTCATCCGCCTTACCCGAAACCTCGCATGCACAATGCCTCACAAGCAACAAGATCCGCCCTACTCGTTCAACAACAAGTCGTCTCTCAACCGTTTGTATGCAGTGCGCCATGTCCATCGTCCAGGGGTATCGAACAGCAACAATTCAATCATCCACCCATAAACTTTTCCCAGTGATGATGCAAGGAACATTTGTGCCGATGCCTCTGCCTCCAAACCCCAGCAATCCGGTTGATAAAGATCCTCCCATTCCGTCTGCCTCAAGTGTGACTCGGCCGCGATTGTGGTGTCATCAAGCCCTTGTGTAGCGAAAAGTAGTCCGTGGCCGGCGGTTCCGGCGTATCCTTCCGAGCCATCCACGACGCACAGTACCAAGAAGCAGCAGGTCTGATCGTGTTGGCCATAGCTCGCGTCGACAAGTCGGCCGTGTCCCGAACACCTTCGCTAGCATCGAGCTCGATCTTCTCCGTCTCACCCAGCGAGTTGACCCACCATTCATAGTCATTCTCAAAATCATCGTCCGAGAGCACCCAAATCGTACCTTTCCCGACTCCGCATTTCGTATCCAGCTTCTCCGCCTCTTTCTCTGCTTCGGAATGATTGCAATGCAATGGAGGTCCAAGTTTGACTCTTTTGAGGTATCGTCTGTTTTCACCAACTCGGACTTTGGCCCAGCGTTCCAGGCCTTGCTCTCGGAGGCTTCGCTTGCGTTTGAATGTGTTGCGGCTGAAGTACAGTCGACTCGCTTCTGTGCGTAGTTTGTGGCAGGTCTGAAGAAGTCCCGGCTCTCTTCTTACGTCGTCCACTGATATGTCTCCGTCGTAAGAAACCGCCAATTCGACGATGTGCTCTAAGACATTGCGAGGCAGAAGGAGCAGGGGTGAAAGCTGCTGGTTTGCGGTCACGAGTCGTTCTGGTGTGAGTAAGGAATCGATGAATTGTCTGGCTTGCACCAGGTCGCCGGCGGGCAGTGATCTCAGTATGGATTGCAAGTCGCCACTGCTAGCTTGATCGCCCATTGCGGTGTATTAGCGGCGTATACTGCTGGTAGTGGGAAAGGACAGACATGAGAAAGTAGAAGGGAAAGGTGTGAAGCGCAAGGAAATGCAGGGCACCTTAGTCTTGTCGATGTTGTCAGCATGGCATACAGGACTATATAGCATGCGCGAGGCGAGACCAGATGGAGCAAGACGGGCAACCCAAGCTTGGAAGGCGTTCTAGGAAAGCAAGTTTCAACTTCGGCCAAGAAAGCATGACTTGAAGTGCTCGCAGAAAGTGGAATGGCCGGGGGCGAGAAGTTCCACCCTAGACTCCTTCGAGCCGACGATCTGGGCGGACTAAAACATTTCACTGGCGACGCTCCACGCGAATGGACGACACACCCAAGACAACGATCCGCGCGACCACGTTCCCAATCTTCCTGACATGCTATGCAGTGGTTCAGCCTGGACAGGATCTTGAAGTCAGACCTTCAGCAAGGCTGTTGAGGCTCTGTTGGCTCTGAGATCAAGCCTCTCATTGGACGAAATACTTGAACAGTCTATTTGTGTGTCCGATGTTGTTGGAAGAGTGCAGCTTATCTTCACTTCAATGCTTCCGGTCAGGGCCTACGGTAATCACCCGAACAACCTGCCGTGAGAACATGGCAACGGGCCAGGATGAAGCCTGCTAGTCGTGCATTCACTCCTGTTTTCGATTTTCGACGTCGGCATCAAAAGACCCCTTCTTCCTGCTCGCATCGACAAGACTTGCCTTGCCTTGATTTTCTGCTGACCTCGCCTCGCTTGCCTGGGTTTTTGGTCCTGGTTGTGAGAACCGGCTCTTCTGAACCTGCACTTTCGACCACACTGGGCGGAAACACGTCAACCCTCTGGATTACGACGTCACGAGAGAGAGCGCCATTTTGGAACGGAAGCCTGCGCGCCAGATGACACTTGTTTGGTAGCCTCCGTGGGGGAAAGAGATGGCATGGCTTTTCTGTGGCCAATATTCGGTGCATATGGCTTGCACCACCCACCGATTGCCATACAGAGCGGCAGCCATCTTCTTCTCGCAAGAAGCAAGGCCAGCATAATAGTTGAAACCACAATGCCATCATGATCGACAGGTACTCGAAGATCTCATGGTCGGTAAGGACAGCCGAACCAAACTCAGTGCACAGTCATGTGCCGTGGCCCAGCTTCTTGTTGGATGCAGACGACAAGTAGCAACTTGAAAGCTAGGATTAGCCGTTCATAATATCAAAATTGGCAGTGCGATTGCTTTGCACTCGTCTGCCGAATTGCTTTTCATGGAGACATTACCGTATCTGACCCAACGGTGAGCCACGCGAGATGGCGTAACTACAGTATCCGCGATTCCGCAACGCCGCGTGCTGCCTGGTTGAAATCTAATCGGTCTTGGCAGACTTTCCGCGATGACATCAAGCTTCTGGTGAATGAGTAGGTGATTGAATGATGCATACTCACAGCGCCATGTGCGAATTTGAAAAGTGACTAGAATTCAATCTCCCAGAGGTGTAGGTGTACTGTCTTTGATAGCCGGATAGCTCACGATGATCAGCCAAAGAGCACAAAAATTTGATTTACGAAGGTCTGAAGAATAAAGAAATATATGCGAGGAGGGCAGTAACGTGGAAGAGAAGGTATAGGAGCGTTCCGCAACTTTTCAAATGTGCATTCATTTCTGAGCCACTGTGGTAGCTTTCACTCATGATCCATGAGAACCTGCCTGCCAAAGCAAGCGTACAATACCCACCAACGCCGTTTGTCCTTCCTGTGCTGAATTTCTGTCAGCCACTAGCGCATGCAAGCGCTGGGTATATCATGCCTCGTTCCTGAGCTGCTCGGATCCTCGTCACACAAAGACTCCTGTGGCGGAGCAGCGAGGAAGCAGCTAGCTCCAATTTGTACGCCGAAAAGGAAGAAAATCGCAAGTCTATCTAACCGGTCCTATACCAAGCAAGAGTGTCGCCGAAGATGTTCCGGTTGTCTGCTCCCAGGATGGGCGCACCGACAGCCGAGTCGTCGAGCATCTTCACAGCCGCCTTAGTGGTGACGGTGTACATGTCGACTTGGCTGTTTTGAATCCTAATCATGTGCTCCTGGCAGTTTTGAAGTGGAACGCAGGCCTGGGCGTAGTTGTTGAAGAAGCTGTACATGCCTGTGGCGTAGATCAAGATGTTCTTGCTGTTGACAACGCGAAGACCCCAAGCGTCTTTGCAGGGAACGCCTGAGCTGTCGGTGCCGTTTGTGCAGATGGTAAAGGTAGGGTCGTCGTATTGGCTGTTGAAGTCGAAAGGCTGCGGAACTTCTGGGTTTGGCTGGAAGTAGGGTGTTTCGGTCTGCATGAATCCACCGAACACGGCCTGAGCGCCATCGAATTGGTAGTTGTAGATGACCGAATGCTCGGATGCAGTGCCCCAGAGCCAGACCGGTCCTTTAGATTGAAGAAGGAAGCCGCGAGCGCTGTAGAGCGAAATTTGAGTCTGATTGTTGACCTCAAGGTCGTGATCTGCGACCCAGAACCCTAAAATGATGTTAGCAAATGAATTTCAACAATGAAGGGGATGGGGATACTCACATGTGTTTTCCAGGTAAATACCGCCAGATTCTGGTCGGGCGTGGAACATCAAGAAAACTCCCTGACATTCGGGCGTTGGCTCAGTAGTTGGCCATCCCGGGCATTGCGCCTCCGAAAGCTCAGTGCCGTACGAGCCGCCGATGCGAACGTGAGAGTCCCACATGCCGGACTCGCCATTTGCGGAGTTGAGGTTCCATTCGATCATGATAGCGCCGGGAGCAGGACCCTTGGTCTCGAACATAAGGTCGCTGATTTCCACACCACCATTGATGTTGCCGCCATTACGCTTACCAACTTGCCATACTGGCTTCGGCTTTTTGACGTTGTTGAAAGAGGCGCCATCAGCGACAATCAGTGACCAGATCTCGCCCACAATCTTGATCTTGTTGGGTACTGTAACGGTGTCCTTCAAGAGGTAGGCGCCGTGATCGAAGTACGCAACCGCGTCAGCAGTACCAGCAACAGTCTCAAGGAACTTTTGGATGCAGGCAGTGTCGTCAGTCTGTCCATCCCCCTTGCAGCGACCATCAGTCTTGACAGATTTGAAGCTACCAACTGGTAAATCCTCATACTGAGGCTTGCTTCGGCCAAAGATATTGCCAGCGCCATCAAGGAGCTGCGTTGACTTTTTGGCCTTGCTTATAGGACCCTGTGTACGCTTACCAGAAGCAGTGTGGTCATATCCGTTACCCTGCGCCCAGGCCTCGATCTTGCCTGGCGCCAGGACCGACGATTTAGTCTTGGCCGACCAGACCGCAGCTTGCTGACATGTTGACATGTCGACGTTGTCAAGGACAAGCGTGTTTCCAGTAGCTGGCACATTGCCGGTCATGGAGAACGACGTGTTGACGCCATATGTCGTACCAGAGATGACGCTGTCCGAAAGGAGGACGGAGCCGGTGGATTGGTTGGTAGGGTTTGCAGCCATGTCGAGGCCGACGGTACCACCGGAAATGGAGACGTTGTTCAGTACCCAGCCCCAGTTCCAGTTCATGACTATGGCTGTCTGGCAATTTGTGAACTTCAGGTTGCGAGTTGTGAACTGCTGACTTCCGAGAAAGGCTCCAATTTTGCCGCCTTCAAAGGTCAAGTCGCTCATCCATCCACCGCTGCCGTTGTCCATAAAGATGCCTTGTTGATTGCCACCTTCGGTCATCTTGAAATCGATGTTCTGAAGTGATGTAGCTTGAGCGACTTGCCAGTGGATGCCTGCTGCAGCTGGCGCAGGCGTAAGGTCGATGACAAAGTTGCGGACTTGGCGGAAGAAGTTGTTCTGATTGATGTACCAGTTCGCGCCGCCGTCCTTGTAGGGATCGCTGTCCAAAAGTGCCATGCCCGTGAAGTCGGGGTCGGCTTTGATGATTGGCTTGTTGAGCGCGTCACCAATGAGCTGCGTGTAGTAGAACATGATGATCGGCTTGCTGACTCTGTAAGTGCCTGGCGGGAAATACACGATGGCGGGCTGGATAGTAGATGAATTGCAGCCGTCGCCACAACGTCCTCCCGAGGAGATGGCCTTGTTGATGGCCTCAGTGTCATCAGCTTGTCCATTTCCTTTAGCGCCAAAGTCGACCACATTTCGAAAGATTTTGTAAGTTGTGTTGGGATTGCCCCAAACGGTTCCAGGTGTTCGGTTGATATCGGCCATCCAGAAATTGGGAGAAGATTGACGCTCTTGAAGTGCTGGCGCCGCCGAGGCTGCTGGAAGGAAGGAGAGGGTAGCGCACAGCGCTGTTATGAGCAGCGAGGTGCTGCGTAGCGAAAGCATGTTCGCTGAAGATACGGATTCGTCGATGAAGTTCGGGTTGCTGAAGCTAGGATGTCAGTGGCCTGCACTGAGAAGCTTGGTTGTAATTCGTCGAAAGTGAGCTCGTAAGAGTGTGTAGCTGTCGAGGTTGTTTTTCGGAGTGCCACGGCCAAGCAAGGGGGGTGGTGGAAAAGGGAAGGGAAGCTTTTGAGGTGTGGTGTGTCGAGAAATGGAGGCGTCGCGGACGCGCGTGAAGTGCGCAATGAATGACAGTGACGCAGACAATGCAATTGTGAATGGATTGTTACTGCAAAAACGACAACAACAGCAGCAGCCTCAGCGACGAGGGCAAGTGAAGGTGAAGGTAGCTTCGCGAAGGAGGCGGAAGCGGAAGCGGAAGCGGAAGCGGTGGTGAATGGGCGGCGCGACGACGCTGCTTTTGAAGGAAGGTGCGGTGGACTCACCTTTCGGTTCAGCAGCAAATTCTGCTTCTGCTGTTTCAACGAGGTCCAATCCCTTCCTCCGTCTGTCGAACCAGAGCGTTTCAGATGGCCGTTTGTCTTCGCTCGATGCGCGTCACCACGCTTTGCATCTGCATCTCGTGCGGCTGCGCCTGCATGCTTCCGCAGCCTGCTTATATCCATTGCTGCCATCGTGCACTCTGGTACGACGGCAGGGCGGACTATGCTACATGTGATGGTACTTCGGCTTCACCACCTCCATTTCTTTGTCTCAGGCATCATTCTTCTCAGCCTCATGGTCCACCATCGCGAGTGTGCAGTGCACCTAGCGTCCTCGTCATTCGTCATCCGTGGAAAAGCGGCAAGGCCAGGAATGTGCAGCCGTCTTCGACCAGCCATAGGCCCATGGCCACTCGAGGCAATCTTGTGACAGGGCGCGAAGCGGATTCCAGCATCGGACCCAGAGTACGTCGCCCAAACATCACATAGTAAGGGGTGCGTTCGCCGTTCAGCAAGAGACGTGAAGTGTTTGGAAACCTTAGCGTGTGTGGCCCGGTGGACCCTTGAGAGCCGCCTAGCCTTCTTTTTACTGTAGCTCACGCGTGCCGGGGTTTCTGGTTGGTCGCGCCTGCCTCGTTTCACTCTCCTCTTCTCTTCTCTGCACTCGCGTCCTCGTTGGCCAGCAACATGTCAGTCTTCATCTCTCCATGTCGCCGACTTCAAGCGGACTTCATCTCCGAAAGGCTCTCAGCGTTTGCCGGGCCAACTGTCGCGAAGCCCGCCATGCCGCCATGGGACATCGCAGCAGAACGTGCCGCGTACCCAAGCGATCGGCAGGGCAGGGCAGGGCAGGGCAGGGCAGGTGGCGTTCAGCGTTCGGTACCTTGCAGATCTTGAAGGTGCAGCGTGTGACCACGAGCCCAGCGTGAGATTCAACGTCCGCTGTTTGACCAGCAGACTGGCCGCTGCGTCTTGATAGCGGTGCCTCCAGCCGATGACCTTCTTCAAAGGATGCCCACCACTTTTCACCATCTTCAAACGGCGGTCCATGTCGCGACAAAGGTCGGCTGGACATTTCGACTACTGTACCGTACAGCCCCAGGACAGACTAAGGCATACGCATGTGCTTGTGACCCTTGAGCGCATGTGCTACGTCCCTCCGAAAGCATCAGATGGATCACAGAGCATGGTCTTGCAGCAGACACCCGATTCCTCCATGTCCTCAGTGCAACCTGCTCGGGATTTGGAACACAAATGACTCGCAGATCGTTGCGATGTTGTGCGGCTCCGGGGTGTGATCACATTCAACGTTGCTGCAAGGAATCTAGCTGTGCTTTGCATGTACTCCGCATTGAATGAAACAGGTCTGCACATGTGAAGCTTTGAATAGTAAGCACATCACGAACGTAGACATGTGACTGTATCAGCAGCGTGGCAAGATTATATGTAGGTCTTACCTGAACTACAATCTCTATACTCTATTTGACAACATATTGCTCGTGGCGTTACATGCTGCCTTCCATCCTCCAGAGATCTGTCTTCAGCACCATAACTTGGCTATCTTAGGGCCTCGCATTATCTTCGATGTGATCAATCCTATCTCCAGTGATCGCTTGGCAGCTTTCACCATCGACGCCATGCAGAAGTGGAGCAAGACTTAAGCTGTTCCACGCAGGAACTCCTCGCTTGCTCGTCAGCGCAACAGTGAACAGCAAGAACGCAGTTGTCAGTGACAAAATCAGGATCGCAAATGTGGCCCACCACCACCGAGCACGCACCAGGTTCTTTACAGTCACAGCCGTGCTCTCTACCACATCCAGGCCGTTGGCGAAGTTGCGCAGGTGACTGGTAAGGCTGACCGCAATGTCGTCCATGACGACCTCAGTTCCGAGCATCTGCCACACGGGGATACTACTAGAGATTTGATCGAAAGAGCCATTAAACTGAGCTGTGTAGAAAGCCAGACGTATGTCATCAATGATTGCGCTCGTCCCGGCACGCCGATTGTAAGTGGAGTCGAAGCCCAGATTATCAGGTACCCTATATAGCGACTGCATGCCTCAGCAGTCGGCAGGATCATGTCCGCCTTGGCTACCACGGCAAGGATGGAAACAACGTCGTTGATTGTAAGGCCATAGCTCACACTAATATTGGCTTGCCCTTATACCTGCCAAGTATGACTAGAAGACCTGCGACACACGCGATGCTCGTAAGAAGCCCGAGCAATTCCCAAAGCCATGATAAAGCCGGTTTGCTGTGTCTAGATGCTGCCCGATCTAAGCATTCTCGTTCTATCCTGCTCGGAATTTTTGGAAGCTGCTTTTCGCAAAGAATCGCCCATAGCCAAAACTCCATTCGGCCAGTCCAGCTAGTTGTAGCAAAGGTTGGCTTCATCATCTGCGACAGCGTGGAATTTCTTCTACCGATATAGAGATGCTGTGCCACATCAAAGATCCATACTGTAGAGCAGCGGCGAGGCGCCCGTTTCGACACGCACAGATGTGAGTCTCTCGGCCTATCGCTTGTGGAAGCGCTCGAATGAGCGCGTATGCAGGGAACCAGCAAACGACAGCATGCATCCCGACGCCGGAAATTCTAGGATCGAGCCATGTAAAGACGTCAGAAGGCATTATTGTGTGACTGGAATGTCCAGGGTCGAAGGTGGGAGGACTGCGCTGCACAGAGGGCATAAGCTAGCTCCGGATGATACCGAGCCAATGTCAAAACACATCGCAAGGCTTCAAAACCAACTTGGGTCCTGTCGACTGCTCCTTTCATTTAAAATTCTGCAGCATATCCTGCCCTCCATCCTTGTGTACAACCACATACTCCCCGTTGCCATCTTCTTTCGCATTCAGGAGCTTTGTAGCGACTCTAGCAATGCGCTCGATCCCTATTCGCAGCTTCGGCTCGTCTTCCTACGCGAAACATAATCGGATACTGTTCGAAAAGGTGAGCGGATTGTCTTTAGGTACCTCGAAGATCTTGCCTAGAGCAATAACCAAATTCTTATCCTTCTAGTAAAGCTCGGCTAAATGTATACCGTCTAAACCATTTAGGAGACCTAGCTAGATAAAATAGCTACCTACGACATCGCGATTAGGCTATAGAGCTATAAATCCGAGCGGGTACAGGTAATGCTTAATTGCAAGCATTATAGTCCTATATCGGGAAGCGTATGCTAGATATAAAATGTCCTATATATAATTCTAGACCTTGCCCTCTTAGAGAAGCCTTATAATATATGTAGACGTAAGCTAGTATAGTAAACCTCCTAAGCGTTAACAGCTACTATTACAATATATATTAGCTATATAATTCTAAGATAGGGCTATACGTAGCACCGAGAAGAATATCCGAATGCAAAGTTAGAGACTAAGTTAGATATAAAACATATACTTCGTATTATAGGTACTATAGGCGCACTTAAACCTAGAGACTAATAAGGAAAGCAAGAATACCGCACTTACGCTTATAAAAGTCCGTATACTAATTTCGGCGTACCCTTAGCCTAACCTATTCGTAGGCTAGGACTAAGGATCTTAGTTATCGTCCTATTGCTATAAATATTGCTAAATCTATTAGTACCTACTCGCTCGGCGCCGCCCTTTAACTCGTAATTAATATCGACTAGCTATAGTAGCTATAATGTTTTTATTATCCCGCTAGAGATATACGGGTCTAAGGAGGTGTCTATAGACTACTATAATACGTCGTATATATCGTTATAAGTAACTAATATATCGTATTCCCTTATAAGCTATACTAGCTACTATTTTCTCTCTAAGCTTATCGTCCGGGACGATAGATTTAAAAAGATAGATATATAATAAATAATATGTTTATATATCTTAGCCCTTTTACGATCTAGCTTAAATCGAGGTTTGTAATTGCCTTGCTTTTAAGCTTTGTCCTCGCTCTTTTATATCTCGCGGCGCAAATACTTAATGTCTATATCTAATTTATTATAATTTTCTAGTACCGCTTGCATCTTGCTACTAAAGCTAGCGTCTTCGAATATTCGAAATGTAAGTATATAGACGGAAGATACGATCTAGATATTGCGCGTATAGACTAGGTTAGTATATACCCCTAGTATAACCGCTAGGTTCTAGGAAGCTGCCCCTGTAATATATATTCTCTCTACTCTAATAGGGAGGAACGGGCGGTAAAATGAGGTTAGCTACGACGCGATAGCTTCGCGTGCAGGCTCATAACCTTCGTTAGGGCCGTATAGTAGTCCTAGATATGCTATAGAGCGGTCTGACAGCGCGGCGGTGGCTGCCTCACGAACCAGGTCGACAGGCAAAAGCGACTTCGAAGGCTAGCCGCGGAGCAGGTTGATAGCCTCCTTAGAAGACATGTCTGCCACCTCAGCGCCGTTCCGAGTACCCGAGCAAAAGAAGCCCCGTACGAGGCCGAGGATGTTGGACGGATACATTAGTGAGAACCACGGCGCAGTCGTACCCGTAAGCTACCTCTTTGTAGCACCCGAACAACGTGCCGCCCAGCCATCGGGTGGAGCGAAGCGTGTGGTCCGCGATGGACTGCGGCGCCACGACTACGGCAGATTCCCAGCGCAGCAAACTCCAGAAAAAGCAAAGGCTGATGAAATGGTCCTCGTGTGGTGTTTGCACGCGTGGCACGACAACCACAACCACAACAATGTTGCACGGAGTCTGTTCTATTTGTGGAAGGCTTGGCCTTACATCACCGGCTACTTCTCCTCAATATGTACACTGCTTCATGATCGATTGCGTGGTCGCCAGGCTGGCCGCAAAAGCAGGCTTCACGCCAGAAACAAGACTGACGCTTCCATCACCGTCGTCGCCAGCGCACATAGCGACGAAGCAGGGCACAGGATGGCGCGCAGGGGTGGTGGTGAAAGGCGCTATTGGCAGGACTTTTTCAGGAACGACTCCGCCCTCGCGCTACTACGTCAGCTGCAGCCGCGATGCGGGCCTGTAAAAGGTACCTACATCTTTCATGTGCCTTTTGAAACTCCTTACCCTCCTGACCTATGACCTAGACACCACCTGCCATTGTTCACCTGACAACAGCCTTAGCCGCCCATTGTTTGCATGTGCATAGCCAGCTAGAAGGTCATTTCAAAAATCAACCCTATGCCTCCCTGAGAGACTCATCGTTACACGAGGCTTCCGAGATGGCGAGAAGGCTGTCGGCCATTTTTACCTCAGGCTTGGGCTTGGAGGACAAGCACAGCTCTCCAACAGCAAACTCTCCTGGGAAATCGTCGCCCTCAGATGCCTCTCGGTCAAAGTCACCTAGCAAGCTGTCGAAGCAAGCTCCAGCATATAATCAGGCTCGACGGCCATCTGGTCAGCAGTTCTTGACGCCTTCACTAGCCGAGCCAACTCTGCCGAACCTGCAAACATTACAGCAGGATGCTGCGGCCAATGGCGACGCTATATTGATGCCTCCGCCATCCATTACTGCTTCTGGGTATCACTCGAGAAACAATTCCACGGACCGGTCGAGGCCTGGAACTCCGGGCGGACTGAACCCCAGCAGACCAATGACTCCAGTACTCAATCTTCCCGATCAACCGCCCATCACGCCCGTCTCCACAGGAAGAACAGATAACAATTCGACCGAGAAGAAGGAGAAGAAGCATTGGTGGAACAAGAAAGACAAAAGAGACGATGCGAATCGAGGGCCGCTTGCGTGGATCGCTGGACATCCGCAGAGACTGCCATACGATGTCGAGGGATTGATGCAAGGACGACCGATGCAGGAATTGTGGAACAATGAAGATGGAAATTGCTTGGTATATCTGTTCCCCAGAACATCCGGAAAGGCTGCATCGTTCAAAGTCGACTCTGCTGTGTTCGGCTCCTCGCCAGTCTTGACAAAACTGGCTTTTGGAGACATCTACAGTAACGATGCTGTTGTTGCAGGCGGTGATCGCAGGCAAATCCCACTCGATGGACGCACTGCACAATTATCCATCAACGATCCATCGACTCCGCCAATAAGTCCCAAGCGCGGAATGGCAAATTCCAGCTCAACTTCCTCGCACGACTCTCGGGGGCGATATTCGAACTTTTCAGACGCTCAGGAATCCCATTTATACTTGCCAATCAAGCTTAGTAGCGACAGTGCAGTTCAGACTCCGACGCCGCCCCATTCCAAGAAGGATGGGGAAGGTTCAGACTTCGAAGATCTGCAAACTTTGGTTGACTACCGCAATTTCTTTGCTTTCTTGTGTGGTCAATCTCTTGTGGCTACTGAAAGGAGGAGTTCTTTTTTTGCCATTTTCATGACGATTGCCGGCATCTTGAAGTCCTTCCAATTCACGAATGTTGATGGCTCCACATTCGGCGAAGCTGCAAACTCCAGCTTCGAAGCTTATGTCGAAGAACTTGGTCTCGCAGATGTCCGCACGAGCCGGGAGAAGACCATCGAGGGAATCATTTTGGGAGAACGGTTGAAGAGTGTGTCCCTCTACAACGAAGCGTTCACGCATGCAGCTGGCAAGCATCAAGATCTTCTGGCTCTCAAGAGTCCAAAGTTCAACATGATCTCGCCTGTCACGCAGAACCGACTTACACGAGCAGCCATGGATCTCGACAAACGTGTTGCGTCGCTTAGATTGATCATGACTGATTTCGAGTTTCCATTTCTGTTCTCCGGCATCATGAGCTCCAAAACATCCATAGAGCGGAAAGAGGGGGTCCGATTCGATGCATGGAAAGAACACTTCCTGGGGATGCGCAAATTCACGCTTGGCCTTCTGAAGCAGAGGTACGGTGACTGGCCGCCAAAGGCGAGCAGTAAGAAGAACACTTTGGAAACCTCTGGTCTTAATCGAATAGTACTCCGGGAACTCTACAGCGATCTATCGTCTTTATATGATCTTCTTGTGGATCGGAACAATTTGACGTCTCGAACAATCGATGGTGTAAATCTTGGCGAGGCAAGAGACGTACCAGTGATTAGAGGGTTAAGATCGGTCCTGTCCGAATATGACCGCTCTGCGCCACCAGTAAAGCCGCCTGTCCCCTTCGACCTGCCCAGGTTCCCAACTCTGAAGAGCACGAGGAAAGATTTCGGCACAGATGCTCAGAGGGACACAAAGGCGTTGCACAAGAAGATCAAAGATGACGAGATCCAGCAAATTCTCCAAGCCAGCGTGAATAGCGACGCTCTTGGGACTCCGTTTGTTGATGCATTCAGAGAGATGGAGAAGCGTGCTGCGCATGGCTGTAACATCTTGGAGATCGAGGATCTGCGAATCGGTCAATGGATCTTCATGTATGTGGTCATGCAGGCTTTGCCTATGCTGGCGATTGATGCTCCCGGTCTCAAGTGGACGAAGGCAGTAGAATACTTCCTTTGCGAGGCGCCACGATCAGGAGTGCCATGGGCAGATCCCAATGCTGCTGGAGCCGGCGCAGGTAGGAGAACGTGGTTCTCTGTTGGTGGTGCTGGTGGTGGTGTCGTTTCTCTACCTGCTGACCTCGTGGAACATGGTGTGGAAGGTATCTACCGTCGCAGTCACTGCTGGGTCATGGCCGAAAGATGGTGCGCTGCGAATCCAATCTTGTCGGACGCTCTGCACATGCAACAAAGTACCGGCGGCGCCGATCAGAATGATCCTGGACTGCCTGCCCCACCTTCTGGTAACGACCTCTTGAGGCCAGACAGTCGGACCAGTAATCGGAGCAGTAAACGGCTCTCCTCTCTAAGCCTGGGTCTAGAAGCATTACCATTGCCGCAAGGAGTCACTCCAGACGGCTCGGCGCCAAGTACGCTCGAGCGGCCAAGAACACCAGCCCATTCGGTTGATACAAGCAAGACGTTTGATTCGATCTTGGCGGACGTGAATACTGGGAAGGGTAGGAAGAAGAAATGACCTGGTGTTTCATGGGGATTGCTTGAACACTGGCTGAGGCTTGGGTACGCCCGTGATCTTGGATTGCGCGATATTACGACCAAGTGCCTTGATTACCAGAAAACGGCTTGGAACGTGTTTGTGTATGGACTTCTAGCCATTTTATCGCATAGAACTGAAGATCGCGGGAGGTGTCCATTTTGGCACCGAGGCAGGATTTGGCTTGGACCCTCGTAATGCATGCAGGGATAGTGCTGGCAGCTCGGATTGCATTTATTACATCAAATATGGCACCTCTTTCACATGGAAACAAAAAAAGTGCTCGGAATTTGCGAGCATCTCGCCCACTATCTGCTTTGTCGCTACATACCGATCTGCGACCCTAATTGTCGGAGACTCGATAAGCACCCAAGTCTCAAATCTCGCGCTGCCAGGGTTTCAGAGATGTGGATATACGGTATACTAGGAATCGGCCCTGTATGCACCGTACAATATACCAGTATGTACCCGGTGTATACACCCTGATTGAGCGAGATGGCGGACGGGGGTAATCCCCGTAAACGGCAGCTAGCTTGAAAACGTTAGATGCAAACTGTTTAAAGGTGCGGATAATTTCTTTAGATAGTACGCTAGCTTTTACAAGTTAGATCCCGCTCTTAGGGGTCGCCCCCTTCCGCCATCTCGCTTAATCGGGGTGTACAGGTGAGGGCCCGTGCGAATACCTTAATACCCCAGGAAATCCATTATCCGGCTGCTAAGAGCCTAAGCCTGTATATAGGCCGTTATCAGCATATTATATAACTCCTCTATGGGTGTATACCAGGCCTCCGGCCGTGAAGGCTGTATACATGGTATAATATACAATGTGTATACCATAATACCATATACTGGATGGTGGGCTTCATCACTAGCTATCCTGTCCCTATGGAACCTTGATGGAGATAAAGTTGACAAGCATTGAGTGTTGTGGAACTCCGGCGTGCCGCTTCGCTTGCCGATGAGCCTCAAGGATGACCTGTGGGTCTTCGTTCAGAACAAATGCCACCACGTTCTGCTGGTACCGGTACAAGAACAGGATGTGGCAGATGCGGAGTGCGAATTCCCTTGACCAGATCTGTGACTTTGTGAAAGCAGAGCGGCATTTTTTGAGCCTTCACTCGCCGGCTCCGCCAAGGGGTTAGCCGTCTTGTCATATGAGTGGCTCTGGCTGAGAATGTTTCATGAAAAGATGTGGCTGGGAGCCGCTATACAGCATCCATAGCTCCTCAGCGCCATAGGGTTCTTCAATTTTCATCAATAGCTGCTGAAGAATTGCGTACCTCGACTTCTCGTCCGGGATTGTTTGAGAAGGGACAACAGGTGAAGTCAATTGAGCCAGCCTGGTCTGCCAAGCGCTTTCAGGCTAGGATCTTGCTCTTACCAAGCCTCTCATTTCGAGCTAAATCAGGAGCACCCTGTGCAGCACGCCGCACGGCCTCTTCGTCTTGAGTCTAAACGAAGTACTGTACATACACGACCAGCTCCCATTCCCCGGTGTTTCAGCCTTTCCGCTGTGCTTACTCACACCGTCGTTACTGAGCCATCGTCTGTCTTTTCCTATTCTGTTACTGGTTTCTGGATTGATCGCCATTTACATTGTTTCCTTCTATTCTGCAGCATGTTGCTTACTCGGGTCGCCCTTTCCCTATCAGCGATTGGAATTGCAAGTGGTCGGCCGTCTGCGAAACGAACATCTTACGCCGTCAAAGAACGTCACATTGTACCCAGATCATGGACGAAACTTGGACCAGCGTCAAAACAGGATACTCTCCAGATCGCTATCGGTTTGAAGCAGCAGAATGAAGGATTAATAGAGCAACACCTCATGGAAGTTTCGGACCCCGAGCACCAACGTTACGGTCAACATCTAAGCTACGATGAAGTGAATGCAATCGTAGCGCCATCGAACGAGACATTGGAAGCTGTACAGTCATGGTTGATTGATCATGGAATCACCGACTGGGTCCACAATCACGCCAAGGATATGATACATTGCTCGATGTCCGTTGAAAAGGCGGAATCGCTGCTTGATACCAAGTATCATGCTTTCAAACACGCAGATGGCACGGAAATCAACCGAGCGCCGGAATGGTCATTGCCCGAGTACTTGCATGATCACATCGATATGGTGCAGCCCACGACATCCTTCTTCCATCCTCAAAAGGAACTCGTAGATGACGATAATCCGTGGAAACCGCTGAGTTATTGGCAGGCTCAGGACAAGCCGGGACTGTTTGGCGAGTATGAGACTGAAAAGTGCAAGAACAGTCCCGGCAATCCAGCGACGGGAGGTGGATACGAGACCGATGCCAAGCCTGGTCATAAGTCGGTAGGCGATGCTGTGGATGATGGCAACAATTCGCACCAATCCTTAGCACCTGGACTTCAGTCCGAGGCGAATGCTGCTGACGGTGCGGATGCCTCTCAGCTATGCGACCCACGTACGAAACACCATGTTTCCAAATGCTGAGTTTAGGCAAATGATGACTGACTGCCACAGATTTCGTCACTCCCCAGTGCCTCCGGACAGTCTACGGTACAATTAACTACAAACCTCAAGTGCCCGACAGAAACGGCATGGCCACGGCAAATTACCTGAACGAGACTGCGCATCGAAAAGACATCGAGACGTTCATGAAAGCTTTCCGACCAGATGCCGCTCCCATAGCCAACACGTTCCAGTACGTGGTCATTGCCGGCGGCGCCAATCAACAAGGCGACTACACGCCAGACCTGATCTCCAAGGACACCAACAAGGAGGCCAACATGGACGCCATCAATGCCATTAGCATCATCTATCCTTCAAAATTCACAGCATGGTCTACTGGAGGTTCTCCGCCTTTTCAAGCTTCTGTCAAGAACCCCAAAAACACCAACGAGCCTTACCTGGTTTGGCTCGATTATGTGCTCGGCCAGAAAGACCTCCCGAATGTGATCAGCACGTCGTATGGAGACGAGGAGCAAACTGTTCCGGTATCGTATGCCAAACGGGTTTGTGCTGGTATGGCGCAGCTCGGGGTGCGAGGGATCTCGGTCGTTTTTAGTTCTGGTGATGCTGGAGTTGGCAGCTCCGAGGGTTGTGTTTCCAACGATGGAAAGAACACGCGGATGTTCATGCCTAACTTCCCTACTTCCTGTCCTTGGGTGACTTCCGTTGGAGCAACGGGCGGTTTCTCACCTGAGGTCGCTGTGACCGAGTTCGCCTCGGGTGCGGGTTTCAGTAATTATTTCCCCATGCCCGATTACCAGAATTCCACGGTGCAGAAATACATGCAAGGGTTGGGGAATATGCATCAAGGATTGTATAACCCCAATGGTCGCGCGTACCCGGATGTTTCTGCGCAGGGAAACCACGACGTCATCACATGGAATGGTCAGACTTCGACTATGGGAGGTACCTCTGCTTCTGCACCGACGTTTGCGGCTGTCATCACTCTGGTCAACGACGCTCTGATTGCGGCTGGGAAACCTCCTCTTGGATTTATGAACACTTGGCTCTACAGCAGCGGATATCAAGCGTTGACCGACATTACCAACGGCTCGAGCTACGGCTGTGGAACCAAAGGCTTTCCTGCTACGCAAGGCTGGGACGCTGTTACGGGCTGGGGAACGCCGAATTTTACGAAACTTGTGCAAGCAGCGATGAGCGCTGCTGGAGCGTCGACGAATTCTGCGCATAGAAACTCGCCTGAATTGCAGGGCGCCGCGCAAGGAGGCCACCGATGAGCGTGCAGTGGGCTCGAATGCTGTACATACTTGCATTTTGATAGACATTTCATCAGCGCCTGTGGTGGCTTCGAGATGGAGCGGCCTCGCAGCACAGCCGGCAGCAGCGCAGGCCGAATCATCGTATCCGTTCGCGAAGCCGAATTGTAAACTTCCGTCTACACAAAATTCTCCGGTCACTCGCCCTTCGCCGACAAGGTTCGTGCGTGGTTCTTGCACGCCGTGGCACGCGCCGTTTGGACTGGTGTATGCAGGAGGGAGGCAGTTGGCTGGTCTTGCCGTCTGATCGGCGGCGTCGGCTTCGTGCCTGCCTGCACGAGATCAGCCTTCTGCCAAGACACAACGAGCCAGGGGCGCCGCGGCAGGCGCAAACAAACCCAAAGTCAGCCTCCTCTCCTCTTCGACCTCCCATCTTCCCGCTGCCCAATCACACCTGCGACGCCCAGTCTTCTTCACTACACCTCCATCTGGTACGCAGGTGGCGTGGCGGCGCGCTGCTGCATACATGACGCTGCAGCCACCGTACCGGCTGTGGTCCTATCATTCATTCATCGCGCGGCACTTCATCTCGTGCCAAAGCGCACAGACGTCGCATATGACAGTCGGCCGCCGCACTAGCCACAGATCTGCTGCGCATCGCATCGCATCGCATCGCATCGCATCGCATCGCATCGCATCGCATCGCATCGCATCACTTTGTCCTCTGCAAAGCTGTCCAAGCCTCTTGGATGTGCTTGTGCTCAGCAGCGCAAGTGCTTTCACGCCACTTCAGCCTGCGTTGATCTTTCGCCGCGCCTAGCTCCACCATTCGGGAAAGCGTACCTCTTTTTTTCTTTGAATATATCTCCTACCTTGATCCTGACAGCTCATTCGCCTATTGCTAATGACACTTAGACATCGACTCGGCAAGCATACAATCCGAAACGAAGCGGACATTCGCCATGCACAGCCTTGCCCAATACCACAACACACCAGCCGCCACGCTTATCATTGCTGCCAATCCATCTCGCCTTGGACCATTGTTCCGGCCGACGCTAAGATGGCTGAATCCATCATGCCTATACTTCGATCATGCATAGACAAGGTATGCCGATTGTGAGTTGCCTATCACGGCCAAAATCGACACTGCACGGCCACTAGCCTGCATGTGGGAACCTCCCTCCAGAGAACGACATCTTTCGAGAAGGACCGCCGCTTGGACGACCACCTCGTCCACATGACTGGTAGTGCTCTTTGATTGCTACCTTGCCGATCGACCCAAGTGAGCCTCGCTTGTCTGCGCAGATGATCAAGGGAAGTGTTGAGACATACATAAAAGAGTCCGTGTCTTCCACCTGGCGAACTATCTGTCAACCTGTCTTCTCACGCCCAGGTCATTCACCAATCCAGAGGTCAGAAGGCTGGTCCCTTTGAATTACTCTCGACTTCATTCGTCACGCCTTTCTCTCGCAATGCATTACACTTATGCGAAGGCCGCCTTGGTGGCCTCTGCTACCCTGGGTATGGCAGCTCCAGCTGCTGATGTTGGCAAACACACCTTCCAGGTCGCTCAGGTTCCCAGCGGGAAGGTTCTGAAGAGTGGTCCCATTCAGATGCACAAGACATACCTCAAGTATGCCTCCGTTGGCGCCGTCCCACCTGCCGATGTCGTTTCTGCCGCCGCCGCTGCTTCGCAGAGCGGTTCAGTTGCGGCCAACCCAGAGCAATTCGATCAGGCCTACCTCTGCCCGGTCACTGTTGGCGGCAAGACCCTCAACCTCGATTTTGACACTGGATCCGCAGATTTGTGAGTTGTCTACTTTACATCAAGCACGCTAAGCAAATTCCAAGACACGCTAACACTATCCTTGTTAGGTGGGTATTCTCCACTCTCATGCCTTCAAGCGAGCAGTCTGGACATGCTGTATACAACCCAAGCACATCTGGCAAGAAGCTCAACGGCTACACCTGGAATATCACCTACGGTGATGGCTCTGGTGCCAGCGGAACTGTCTACGCCGATAAGGTCGTCGTGGGCGGTGTGACGGCAACTGCCCAAGCCGTTGAAGCCGCTACCTCGGTGTCATCACAATTCACCCAAGATACCGACAATGACGGCCTTCTCGGTCTCGCTTTCTCCAGTATCAACACTGTAGAGCCACAACAGCAAAATACTTTCTTCGACACTGTTAAGAGCTCCCTGGCCAAGCAATTGTTCACTTGCGATCTGAAGAAGGGCCAAGCCGGTTCCTACGACTTTGGGTAAGTCTCACTCGCTCGAAACATTGCCTGCCTGCATCTGTACCCGCCCAGAACTGAGATCTTCGTCTCGGCATGCGTGTCGGATTGGTAGCCTCGGGTCGATCTCAAAAGAGCATCTGGTAGCCGATCACTAACCGCATCGGGCAGGTACATTGACAGCTCCAAGTACACTGGCAGCATCGTCTACACTTCTGTCGACAACTCGCAAGGATTCTGGGGTTTCACCGCTGGCGGATACAGTGTCGGATCAGGCAACGCCACTTCTGGCAGCATCGGTTCATCTATCGCTGACACCGGCACCACCCTTCTGTACCTCCCATCCAAGGTTGTCTCTGCCTACTACGCCAAGGTCTCTGGTGCCAAGTACAACAACCGACAAGGTGGATACACTGCTCCATGCCACCAGAACTGGCCAGCATTCAACGTTGCGATCGGTGGCAAGACCTTCGTCGTTCCAGGTAGCTACATCAACTACGCCCCAATCGACAACTCTGGCACCACTTGCTTCGGTGGTATTCAGTCCAATTCCGGTATTGGCTTCACAATTTTTGGCGACATCTTCCTCAAGAGCGTCTTCGTCGTCTTTGACGAGACTACTGGATCGCCACGTCTCGGCTTTGCCGGACAATAGATATTCCATTTGATATCGACAGTAGCAGCATATACATGAGAGGATTTGGGAATTTCATGAGGAGAGCATGATAAGGAGCTCACTACAGCACGCAGTTCAGCGCGGCGCTAGATTTCGTAATACTGGACTGTATCTTGGACAGCTGTATATAGACACATGGACTGGATCCGTCTAACAAGTTACATCATGACCGACTATCTGCTCTCCACGACTCATTTGGTTTTCATGTGGCCACGATATCGTTCTCTCCAATGGAAGTAAGCTCGAAACTTGTTCTGCGACATCTTGACCTGATGATCAATCAACAATCTCCGTCGTGGCCGCGCCTATCGGAAGGCATACCTGACCTCGTCGTAATAGCATCCGTGTTCGAGGAGCAATGGAAGGAGCTGCGCATCAAAGGTGTGAATATGATCAAAAACTCACATAACTTACTTGCATAATCCCTTCGCTCTTCGACACCATGAATATGATACATCGCAGAGACCACCCTCAGTCTAGCCACTCATACCTTCGTCAACAAAAACCCTATCTGAGAGACTGGACATAGCTAAGTGAGTGAGCAATATCATCTCAACTCGGTAACAAATAGCTTGCATCGTTTGGAACCCCCGATGGCATATGCATATAGTCGTGTTAAAGCTCTAGCTGAAAATTTTGAGAGCTACGTTACGGTAACGTATCTCTTACGAACGAAATTTTTGGATTTCCCGATCGCGCTTTATACCGACCGTTTTGAATATTCACTTACTAGAATTTTTTCAGCTAGCGTAAGATCGGGTAGGATGTGTATAGGTGTTACTTATAGTATAGGGATTTTGCTCTCGCTCTTACTTATAGCTATTGATTATTAATTCCTATAATTATATAATTACTTACAATTATAGTAATTGTAGTTGTGATTGTTATACGTATAATTATGTAATTATAATTACAATTAGTCGGCGTTTCTTAGGCAATTGTAGGCAATACTATAGCGTATAAGTATCCCTTAATTTCGTAGTATTTCCTCCTTCTTCCTTATATAAACTCGTATTAAAAATAGGTTAGAAGCGCGTAGAAGTAATCGAGGTAGGTTAATAGCGAATACTATCGGTTGCTATAGCTAATCGTATAGATATCGGATAGCGAGTCGGAGTCGGAGGTTAAGGTTATAGATACCTTATTATCGCTACTGCCGCTACCGCTGCTATAGACTTAGACTTAGCCTATCGATAAGAAGCCTATCGCTAATAGCGCTTCCGATAAAGAATAACCGGTTACTAAGAGGCTTCGTAAGAACCCGAAGAAGACAGTAAAAGGTTAGGATTAGCTCGATTAATAGTATAAGGAAATAGAGGCTTAGTAAGCTGTTATAGAAGGGTTGTTATAGGAGTCTCGCTGTATACTAAAGGAATACGAAGGCGTAGAATACCGACTAATTACGAAGAATGCCGAGCTCGATATTTATAGGAAGAAGGTAGAGGCTTTCGAGGATTATATCCGTAAGAAGGGTAATTATATAGCCGTATATCTAGCGGACTATCGCTGCTAGGTCTATCGCGAGCGGATATAGAGGGTAGAAGAGAGGGCGAAGCACTTTAGGTTTAGTAACTCCTATACTTGCTACTCGTATATACTACGTACGGGCGAAGAATGCGAATTAAAGCTCGAGCTCGCTATATAACGTACTTGTAATGTATTAGCTATCGAAGCTTTCGGAAAGGAGTATATTAGTAGTAGTAATAGTAGTATTAAAGGTATTAAAGGTATTATAAAGGATTAATAGTATATAGAATAGTAGGAGTTGTTACTTACGCGCCTGCCTATTCCTATTAATTATATTATTTAGGGTCTTTAAAGCCTAATAGGAGCCTTCGGAGTCTACTAACCGAGCGGCTTCGGCTCGCGCCTTAAACCTTAGTAAGCCCTATTAAACTCAAATTTTCTAAACCTCTGTTCTTTTATAACTTCTACTATTTCCTTACTATAGTAGAGATACGCAAAAACCCTAAGCCTTTATAGCGGCGCTTAGAAAACTTCCGTAAGAACTAAGAAACCTAATAGGAAACGCAGGATAGATAACGGATACTATTTACCTAAGATTCGAGCGATCTAAGCAAACTCGAAGATATCGAAGACAGAGAGGTACTAAATCCTATACTACTACTACTACTAAGTTAACCTCCTTAGCTAATACCTAACCTATTATTCCTTCCTATATAGTCCTTATCGTCCTTAGTAATACCTACGCAACCGATACCGATACCTATACTATCTAAGAAGCGAAAGAGAGCTAGTAATAGGCGTAATCCGGAGTTATAGTCTTACTCGAGACCTCTAAAGAATAGCGAGCCTAAAAGAGTTAAGAATAGCCGCTATCGAGTATTCTACTATAAACACTATAGCGACAACGATCTAGAGCGCTTTTAGTCTCAATCTAGCAACGCCGCCGACTACCTGTTCTATAAGTATTAAGTTATCGTTAGTCGTATAAAAGAGAAGGATAATAGTAAGAAACAGAGTATAATCGACTTCTTAGCTACTATCCGGAAGAACTTAGAAGTTAAGGCATAGAAGACCGTTAATATACTAAAGAACGCAGCGGATAAGAAGACCTTTAGATACGCTCTCGTACGCTTTATTATAGCACTTAGTATCTCTTATAGTGCTATTGTAACGAAGGAGTTTAAGGACCTAGTATTAGTAGTTAACCTATAAGCTAACTACGTCCTCCTACGCTTATATACGACCCTCTTTAGCTATATTCTATATAACTTCGAGCACTAGCGAGAGCAGGTCAAACAAGGCTTATTAAGCGCCTTAAGCTGCATCTACGTTAGTACTAATATATAGAAGTCTTAGTATAGAAGAAAGCACTTCTAGGCTATTAATTGTTAGTATATAAATAATAAGGGCAAGTTAGTTTAACTACTACTAGATCTTCTATAACTTCCGGTCGGCTCTTATATAGGCGACTTCCTCGTACTACTGCTTGTTAATAGCTTTAAGGTCTTTAATATAATAGACAAGATCGGCTAGATAACTGCTAATAATAGCTCTAATAACAAGACCCTCTATATAGCTATAGAGACCTTTATTTAAGCAGAAGGCTATAGCTACTTCTAGAAGCGCTATCTACGCTATATTAGCTATATTATTAACCGGATAACGTAGGCATTTATATTCGCTAGGAGTAAAGAGTCCGCCGAGAGTAAGGAGTTTAAACTATCCGTAATAGACTCGGATAGCGATACTATGTCTATCTCGAAGTAGCTAGATATAGACGTAGAGTCCTTTGCTAAGCAAGGTCTACTATAACGGCTATTCTTACTAGCTAAGCTTCTACGCTAGAACGACAACTTTAACGTATTTAAGGAGGTATATAAGGCCTAGCCTTTACTGCCTACTATAATACCTAAGATTCTAGGTAAAACACGCTAGAATAGGTAGCTTCTTATTAAGATATCGATTAAATAGCTATCTAAATTAATAACGAGTTAAAGAAGAAAGAGAGAGAGGCTCTCTCGCGGAAGAGGCTTTTATTCGCTCGGCGGATGCCTTAGGCATTAAGTTACGTAATCTCGAATTATATATATAAGTCGCTAAGATCGTAATAGCACTCTCTCCCTTCGTAGGCGACGTCTACGGCGCTTTATCTACTCGTTATATATATAGTATTGCGATTGTAGCGACTAATAATAGTACGCTCGGTCGTATTAATATCGCTAAGTTAACGATATATAGTTACGGCTTACGCGGGTAGCGCTTATAATAGTCCTTTACTACTTCTTACGTATTAGTAACGTTCTCGGCGGTTTCCTATATCGGCTTATCGTATCTAATCTATTTTACTTTATACTATATATTATCTCCTTTGCCTTTTATATCTAGTATTCTTTCTACCTCCTACTCTTTATTACCGTCGATAACTAGCGGTAGCGGTAGTTCGTATCGTTAACTAGATATACCTATTTTAGGTACTAGTATAAGTAACGAAGTATAAAAGACGTTATAGATACGTATTAAATTAGGCAGCTTTAGCTAATATACGTAGGGCGATACTACCTTAGTAATCTTATATAGTCCTAAGTTCTTAACGTCGAGTTTAATATTAGGTCGATCTATACTTATACCTTTAAGCGATAGGAAGACTTTATTACTAATACGATAGATAGGAGCGGGTCGGCGGTATCGGTTAGTTAAGTCTTCTATACGAGATTGCTAATACTATATCTATTCGATAAGATATATTTTAAGGCTTTATAGGTAATCGATCTAGGCTTAAGTATTCTTATCTAATAGTAGATCTTCTTCCGGTAGGGTTAAAGGTTCGCTTCCGAGACGAGGATTATAACCGTAGCTAGCTTAGAATAGTAATAATCCTATAGTTTCGGAGGGTACGTTATTTATTATAAACTCGGCGATAGGGAGCTAGAGGCTCTAGTCGTCTTACTCGTAGTTTATATATAATCGGAGATATCCTTCGATAACTTTATTTAAGCGTTTAGTTTATCTATTAGTCTATAGGTAATAAGCGGTCGATAGGTTACGCTTAATACGTAGGCGCTTATATAAGTAGTTCTAGAATTTAGAGATAAACTACGTACCTCGGTCGGAAGTAATAGTATCCGAAAGACCGTAAAGCTTCTAAATATAGGTAAGGTAGGTATCTACTACTACTTAAGCGCTTAAGTATCCTTCCTTATATACGAATAGAATAAGGTATCGTATTTTAGTTAGTCGATTAATAACGATAAGAATCGAGTTATAACTAGAACTATTAGGAAGACTAGTAATAAAGTCTATCGTTACGCTCTTTTATCGAGTAGTCGGTACTAGTAGAGGCCGAAGAAGTCCTCGTTTAGCTTATCTTAAGGATTTAGTCCGAAGGTAGGTATAGTAGGTATCGATATATCGTTTAATATTCTCGCGTATTCGTAGCTAGTAGTAGCTATAGCTAACGAGGTAGAACGTCTTTATAATACTAGGATAGCTAGCGGCGGAATAGTCGTAGTATATACGGATAATATTAGTATAGAGCGACTTATCCGTTTCCTTAGCTTCTAGTATATAAAGATAGTCGTAGTAGAATAGAAAGTTATTATCTTTAATCTCGTAGTCCGAGAGAGATAATAAGAGATTATTAAAAGGGTCTATTCTACTACGGAGGTATCCTTTTACTTACTAGAATAGGGTATCCTTAATCGAGGTATTACGAATTCGCTTAGTAATATTCCTAGCGTCGATAAAGGTCTTAGTACCGAGAGTTTCTATAGTAAATATAACTATATCGTCGCTCGTAGTATTAATACGGGCTTTCGCAAATTAAGGTTTATCGTAACCCTTACCCTAACCCTAACCCTAAGGGTTATTATCGTTAAAGACGTAAGAATCGTAAAATTGTCTATTTCTTCGAGAATTGCAATTATTTACCTTAGGGTTACGCAACCCTAACCCTAACTCTAACCCTAACCCTAACCCTAAGGAGAAGATTTTATATATAGCGGATCGGAGGCCTACGGCTAGGTTATATAGCTTTAATATAAGCTAATAGTTATATTTAATACGCGGGTCCTTAGCTAATAAAGGTAGGTCGGTAGAGCGGTATATAAGCGAGTCTAGCTTAGCTCCTTATCTAC